TCAGGCCGTGGAAAAGGGTGCGGTTTGTCATTCCCAAGAGCCCGGAGATCGACCGAAATGTTCGGGATGAGTTGCGAGTACTGATGGAAGCTAGGGAAGCAGGTGTGGCGTACATAATGGGGCACTCATATGTGAGGGCAAAGCAAGGATCAAGTATAATGAAGAAGATAGTTATAAATTTTGGATATGCATTTTTGAGAAGAAATTGTAGAACAAACACATGTGCACTAAATGTGCCTCCAGCATCAACATTAGAGGTGGGAATGGTGTGTCATTTATGATGTGTGAAAATTATGTATTTTCTACGTGTGTTGGTTATTTTACATAATAGTCTGATTTATTTATTTTTTGTTTTTGGGTTGACACCACACTACAGAATTTTAATAAATAGATTGAAATAATTGTGAGGTGTTCTCCCGAATGTGACTGGTGTTCCTGCTGCTCAGTTCGGTATTTACCACATGCAAAATGAGGTCGGGCTCTCTCCCCCATTGTACATCCGGCGTGAGAATTAGTATTCAGTTTTGGAGAATATGTAGAGATAATATTGGAATTCAGATAGTTAAGGTTTCAAGAAGGCATACCTTTCTCATCTTGGAAGTATTTATATGCACTTGTTGCTATATACGTGTTCGGTAGTTAATGGTGTCACGTGTCTCATGTAGACCTTCCCACTTCCTCCATATTCTAATGTGGTGACCCCCACTCGTCAAGCGGTAGGTTGTGCCCATGTTCGCCGTTGGATAGTTTCTGTCTTATGCATTTCCATTTGTATGGTTAAGCATAGTATTGACCTCACGGTGGTAGGCGGTCTATTGACCCCATGGGGGTCGACGGCCTCATGGGGGTCGACGACCTCATGTGGTACGCGATTGTAAGATTGTCTTTGTCACCCGCGTACATGGTTGCAAGGTTGAGATTGTCACCCCGTACACATGGGGGGTGGTAGAAAGCCTCATGGGGGTAGACAGTCTCAAGCGGTAGTCCACCTCATGGAGGTGGTAGACGACCACATGGGGTTGATGGCCTCTTGGTGGTGCTCTACGTGGAGTGTTTGTCACTTGCGTACGCGGTTGCAAGATTGTCATCCGCGTATGCGGTTGCAATATTGTCACCCGCATACGCATGGGGGTGGTAGAAAGCCTCATGGGGTAGATAGCCTCAACCGGTAGACCACCTCATGGGCGTGTAAGACGACCACATGGGGGTTGACGGCCTCATGGTGGTGCTCTACGTGGAGTGTTTGTAACCCGCGTACGCGGTTGCAATATTGTCACCCGCGTACACATGGGGGTGGTAGAAAGCCTCATGGGGGTAGACAGCCTCAAGCGGTAGACCACCTCATGGGAGTGGTAGACGCCCACATGGGGGTCGACGGCCTCGTAGTGGTGCTCTACGTGGAGTGTATATCATGTGGTTTAGCCATTTTGCATAATTATTAATGACATCCTGTATCAATGTTGTTGCCAAAACTTGGAAAATAATCTAAATTTTCAGTAATTTTTTTTTTTGTTTGCGTTAGTTAATTTACATTGCATCTGGAGTACGTTTGCATTTACATCTAAAAATATTGTTTTGAAGTTTGTGCATAGTTTTAGTTTAGAGTCATTAACTATATTATAAAAGTCGTCAGAAACCAAATTAGCCTAAACTTTCACATGATTGCATACCTTCATGTGTGCACGTGATCAGTTTACAACTAATAATGTTGCCAGATAAAATACCAAGTTCTAAAGGAGAGGCATTATTATATGATAAAGGGAGTATTGCTATC